GTTAAAGCAAAGTAAATGTTAGCATCCATGGCCCACAATAAAAGAGCTTAGTCTGGTTTCCATGTCAATACTCTTCTTGTTGCTTTAATGAAACTGAAATTAAGATAAGAAATTACCATATTTATTTGGCTATAAGCCGAGACCCCAAACTTTGTACGTGTAGACTCAGCATAACAAGAACCAAAAATAAATAAAAAACACCCCGTTATAAGCCAAGATCTATTCATTATTACAAGACTGAATTGTTAACTAAGGGAAAACCTAACATTTTCTGAAAAAGTCACATTAATTGTCATAAATGAGGCTTAGACAATGGTGATTTATGGTGATTTAATATGCAAAGGACAAAAAAGGTAGATATTCAATTGAAAAACAATTAATCATAACTCAGATGAATTAATGTGATCCAAAAAATTGCTTGGCTTATAGTTGAATAAATAAGGTAATAGTAAAATGAGTATAAAGCCTTATTTGCTGATTCCACCTTACTATCAGGCTCCTACAGTAAATAAGTAAGCCTAGAAAGCAACTTCTATAATAATGTAAAACTATCTTCTGTTATATGTACTGTGATATCAGGAGATCTTGGTCATTACAACTTGTGAAATGAAAATTGCATTTGACATATGGCATGTAGAAAACATCACTAAGCCTTTTAAATTAATAACTGGAAAATAGATGTACTCCAACTGTTTGGCATTGCCCCAAATAGGCAAGCTGGATTTCAAATTTTTTTCTGTAGCCCTAGTGTAAAATTATGATGGTAAAAAAGAAAAATTGTGTACATCTATTAAATAATTACTATCCACAAATCATGTCAAGGACTACCTTTCCAAACCTACTATGAACCAAACACTCAATGGATTGGTTACTGAAATAAATTCTCACTTAACCAAAGTTTTAGACAAACAATAGACCACTCTATCTCTAGATAGGTGTTTTCTCTGAAGAAAGCAATTGCTAAATCCCTTCTTGACACTGTTCACAAAAATCACTTTTAAGATAAAAGGGTCAATTACTTTTTTGATGGCTAAGAATGTATTTTTATAAACAAATGGCTACATGCTGCTGTTCTACAAATGGGCCAGGGTTCCACACAAGTTCTGCACTGAGAACCTCTCTTTGCTAAACTATGGCTGAATAGCATGGTATGATTACTGCTGCAGTAATTGTTGCCTGTGCTACATGCATGCAGCACATGCAACAAAAATTGGACAAAATATTCATGATTTGACCGTCTTTTGGTTACAAATGTCCTGAGGGATCTTAAACACATTTTTTTATGATGTGCACATCTTTCCAGATTATTTATAGGCAATATCCATATAATCCACACAATCACTTCAAAGTTTTGTCCTACAACGATCACGTTTTCATCATAAACTTAAATCAACTTCAGAAATTTAGGAGGTAAAAAAAGAATCCCTCCAACCCTTACAGTAAAAAAAAAAAAAAGGGCTAGCATCGTCACATTGAAGGGTGTTATTTATCCGGAAAATGAATCCTCTAAAAAATATACCTCAAACCTCCCATTTAAGAGGAATACTCCCTTTAAAGGAGTTCCTCGATAGAACCTAACATTCTAATTTTGCCGAATGAACAACATTAAGCGATTATCAACAAATCAGTTTAATAGCGGTGAACGCGTGGACTGTCGGAGTAAAAAATGACCTTTTTTCAAATAAACAATATTTACTTGAAGTTTTTTTCAACACGCAAAGGGGTTTATGTCGATTCAAGGTTTTTAAAGCGTAAGGAATAGCCGTTCTTTCCCAAATCCCGCACGGTTTTCAAGTCCCGGCGAGCTCCAGATCTCGAATACCGCGAACTTTTAAATTTACGATACGAAGTTAAAGAAAAAAGCACTTCGCAGCGAACATAAAGCTACAACTCTTCAATTTTGAGAAGATAGGTATTGTACGAAGTTGCTCTTGTAAAACTGCTCTAAGATGAGCGAAAGGCGACTAATCTTATCGTCACAAAACATGTGTCATGTACTCTCATCAGTAAACTAGAGATGAACGCGCCAATTCTCAAAACAAAACATCATCACACTGGAAACATAGCCATTCTCTCTTAAATATTTCACTTCATGTTAAAGGTGGAAAAAGAACAGACTTTCCTGTTCACTTAAACGCCTTAAAAAATCTAACTTAAGAAAGAAACGCAACAAAAATGACAATTTCTCTTCAAATGGTATTCACGCAACACATGCAAATCACGGAAATTACGGTACCTACCGTTGGAGCCTTCGGCTGATGATTGTAACTCTTTCTTTCTGCTGTTTGCCGAGGACATTTTCAGTCGTCACATTTAGGAAGAAAATTTAGGATATTAAGCCAAAGAAATTACGCTAAGGGGCAAAGACATGAGGAAAAGTCGGACTCTGAAAGATGGCGACTGCGCGATAAATGCAGCTGCTTTGTCTCTTACTAAAAAGTCGGTCTCCTTGTGAGAAAATAACATATTGATCACCATGGAGTCGCGAAAAGACCGAAATACTTCGCTTGCTGTCAGAAAAATTGTGAAATTTTTACAATTGATGTGCAGAAAGTACAGATATGTTGACGGAATTCTCGATCTGTTGAGAAAAAATGGACAGCTTGGGGAGAAATTGATTTGTAACAGATGATAAATGATGTTTTCTCCTTACAATCACTCACGTGACATTAAAGTTACCTATTCACGGAGATTTTGTTGTACCCCGGAACAAAACACCATTCCTTTCCACATGGTAACCAATAAAGAACGCATAAGTCGTTAAAAAAATTGGAGAACTTAAGAGTAGTTTCAGGAAAATTCAACACACTTCTTCCCTGAATAAAGGAAGAAAGTAAAGAAGCTTCTAACTTTATTTTCAATGATGATCAATTTATGAATTCTCCTAAGCCGGACCTCCTCAACTTGGGCAAATGTTAGATAACCCATAATAATCTTGCTCTCTGTGATTGGCTGAATGATCTATTGATTGACAGAATCCTACAGTATGCCACATTACCCTTCCTTTAGCTTTCCCCCCTTACAAACTGAATAATGGTGCATACTAGGGTACCAAGATAAAGGGAAAAAATATTAGTTATTGTTTTTCATGGCTTTGTTCGATGTGATGGGATTATTACCAAATTCCTTTATCAATAGATTTAGGTTATTCACTTTCTGTTGGTTGCTAACCAATTTTTAAGGAAAAAGGTTCTTGAATAATATTGCCCCCTCCCCCTCCCCTTCCATCATTATACATATTGATATCCATGTATGTGAATAATTCAGCAACCTTCTTATGCTTTCCTGTGTAAGAGTGCCATCTTTAATTCTCTTTTTTCTGGAAAAATGTTCCTGAAAAACCAACATAACTATTCAATTACTACGATTAGTAATGCCTCACGAACTTTATTTGTCACAGATCTTACTTTGACTGTAAGTAGTATATTTCACTATTAACTTTTAAAGAAATTACACAGCAAAGGGAAATTTTTGAACATGCTGAAAATTTAAATCTCTGTTCATAAGATTTTTTTAAAGTTTTATCTTTTCTTTCGGTTTCATGTGAACAGTATGGCAATCATACCAACCACACTATCACAGCAAAACCTCACTTTCGAATGGTTATTTTTTTTTCTGTAGAAAGTGTGAAACATGTTCCAGCCATTAGGCAGGTGTGAAACAACAACATCATCTTCTTACTGATCCTTAGGGCTATTGATAATAGTAATAAGTTTCTCATTGTTAAATATACAGTTAAGGGTCCATACAGCTAATTTTGCATAATTTAAAGTACTTGGAAAAAGAAATTTTCTTTTTCACAGCCGACAAATGCAAAAATTAATTATGTGGAGATTAAGCATTTCCTCAAATTTAAATTTTTCCAAGGAAAGTCCTGAGGTTCATTCATTATAATCATGATAAGACCAAAGCATTAGCCATGTCTTTTTGTTTGGCAAAGCACCACTCAAGTACATCTGCACTATCTGAAAAATTCCCTCATAAACTCAACAGTTTATTGCATCCTTCAAAATGAGTCTTGTCTGTAAGAAATGCTGATTCCCTTGTACAGATTGCTTGAACTCTGCAAGGAGTTTGATGCTCTCCACTTGTGGAAAATTATAGGGTCATGGAAGCATGAAAATGACAAATCTTTGAAAATAAATAATTCTCCAAGTTCTGTGATACAATCTGTTACAACACAATGAAAGAGCAAGGAAAATGAGATGCTGTAGGATACTTCTTTGAAGTAGTAATAGCTTGAAATTTACACACAGGAATGTGGTGCAGTGATGATGGATGACTGAGAATGTTATTTACCAATGATGAAGGACAACCTTGGGTGCCTGCTTCCCTCTACCTTAAGTGCCACAGACATGATAGAATGAGAAGAGAAATTTTCCCAAAGTTATGCAATCAGGTGGTGCATCTTTAGAGTCTTAATGCATCTTCCCCTCATAAAATATGCTGAACTACTTTGCTGTTTGGAAAAATAGGATCAGCACCTGGATGGCATCACAATTGGCAAGCTTTGCCTCCTAATGTAGAAAGCAAATTAGATTCCTTGATTTTGTCCCATGTAAGAAAAAGGAGACAGTTTCTCAAATGTCCAGGTAACTTACTGGGCCCAAAAAGCTGTTCTGTTTTAATTCAAGATGAGGGTTTTAAGTCTTGAAAATTATACAATAAAACTTTCAGCTAAATAAACAAAATGGACTAGTCAGGGAACCAGAACCTACTTCTCTATTCTATAGCTTCAGGCTATTGGTTTAGTAGGACTTTAAAAAATGGACCCCAAATCACTTAAGACATAAAAATGTGGTAATGACACATTTTCGTCATATTACACCAAAGCATAATTTGCTTTAAATTTCCACGTGGCTTACATTTGTCAAGTACAGAACTTACTTGAAAATAAAACAAGAAATGTATCAATAAAAAGAATTATTGAAGCTTGGTTCACACAAGTGACGAAAAGGAGAACATGACAAGGAAATAAATGTAGTAAAGCACACAATAACTGGGGTAACTAAACATTTATTCAAATTAATAAATGGAAATCAGCTGAGCCACAATAATCCATCTGTTTCTTAGGAGGATGATCCAGTAGACAGCAGAGCAAGGACACCACCAGCTATGGATGTGGAGAGTAGGTAGTTTCTTAAAGACTGTTAAAGAATTACCTTAAAAGTGAGCTGCAAAGTGAAGTACAGCTGACATTTACTATTAACTCCCAGATAGAAAAACCTAAATTTTTCAAAGACTGGTTTGACAAGTTTATCCTTTTCAGGGTTGTCAATAATAGTTCATTCTAATAAGGTTTCTTAATTTCTACCAACTTTTAGGTAACTTTGAAGTTCTTGAAGTCTGCAATCATGAGCAACATGAACATAGGAAACACTTGATTACCTTCCCAGGGTAATATTGGATGGAAGTCACTGGAACTTTTGTCACCAGGCAGCTAACATTTTACACTCCATTTACCACTACTTATCTATCAAGTTCACCCTTCAACCCTCAAAAGTGTCTGGTCTCTAATTTCTCCTAAACACAATCACCCTTGATTCAAATGTAAAGGTCATAAGAATAAAGGAAATGACCATCATTTTATGGAGCTCCTGATGGTCAAACATGTTCTCCTTGTCAGTGCCATACACAATGTTAAGAAAACAGGACCGGGTTGGTCAAATCTGGGTTAAGATAACCCAGGGTTAGTGAAAATTTTGATGTAAGATCTGAAAGCTTAAAAAGAAAATTTGGCTTAACTCTTTTTGTCTTCAATTTGATGATTGAATGCTCCCAAAACAAATGGAGACAATGAACAAATTACCCTAAAACGGCTTTTGAACATAGAAGTATAGAAACCTGAATTAAAATTTAACCCTGGGTTAGTGCTGATCGGCCTTTGAACAATTGGGCCCAGAGTGGTAAACATGAGAGAGCTAAGGGTTAGGTAATGCAAAACAAAACCAAAAAACAAAGGGAAAAAGTGTCTTCAACAACAACACCAGGATTTGAACTTAATGCAAAGATTATGACTCCCAAACTACAAGAAGAGTTATAAAGGATACGCAGCAGGATTAAATGTCCGCAGAACATAAAATGAAGCTATCAGGACCAAAAACAGGTACAAGGCATTGTTGTAAAATATGGAGAAGGTAATGGCTTCAGTTTCAGCAACCTTGTTCTTTTTCCAAAGGATTCTGAAAAGACAAAAACAAATCCAATTTATAATGGCATGAGATGCAGACTCCTTTGAAAACTACATTTTGAGCATAACTGACTTCTGAATCAACAAATCAAGGTCAAACGTTGTATTTTGCTAGCTAAACAAATGACACAATATGAAAATATAAAGAAAATAAAAAGCCCCATGTCACAACACAGTTGATTAATGGTACCATCCTCATTGTTCTGGTTTCCTAAAATTCAAAGCTTTTATATTGTTGAATTAAAAATATTTTTCTAGGAAAATATTAAATGTAGCTTCAGTTTCTTTAAACAAGTACACTGAAACCTCTGTTAAGCGGACATCCTCGGAACCTTCTCAAGTGTCTGCCTAATAGAGAGTATCCCCTTAATAGAGGTTTGTAAAAATTGTGCAATAATTGTTCATGATTAACATTTCCCTCTAGCAATGTTTGTCATATGGTGGTCCCAGAAATCTTTGTGCAAATGCAACGATCCACTTATGGGCAACTCATTCATTAGGGGGTCTGCTTAATAGAAGTTTCACTGTATATGTGTTGTAGTTGAAATAATTTATTTTTGGTCTAATTTTCAATTCCCACTTGGAGTATGAAAATTAGTACAAAGTAGAGGAAAAAAGCTATTTAGCCAATCACAAACCCCATGATGTGAACTTTATATTATACTGAATAAAATACAAGTATATTTAAATCAATTTAATATAAACCTTTCATCCTTTTCTTGGCGGGTCAGCTTCTTATTAGAATCCAGCTCCATGCTGACTTCTTTGGTAACTGAGGCATCTCTTCGTTGGGCAATCCTAAAAAATAAATGCAGACATCTTAGTTAAAAAGTAATGATATAATGAAACAAAATGTAATAAAAACATGAATGTGACAGTCAAAACTGATATGATTTTTGTATATCCCCATATTATTCTAAAATAATTCCAGAGTCCCTACGGTAATCAATTGTTTTGCTGTTGTCTTCTTATATCCAATACTATATGCATAATAAAGGATAGGCCTGTACAAAAATCTCTATAGTTTATGGCACTTCATTGGGCTTCTATCAATTATTGGATTTACTTGTAGCTTTATTGAAAATGGAATAACCTTTTCTTAATGATCTTAATGTGTGCACAATTTGATTTACCTCAAACTTCTCACAATTGACTTTGCTTTTCTCTGAGATGAGGGGGGGAGGGGGTTGATGCGTTATATGGGATAGAGCTCTTTTAATTTTCGTGATCAGTGAAAATACAAAACAGTAAATTTTTTGCTTCTCGTGATACATGAACCTTACAGTTGTATAAACAAGTTTTAGTAACACATCATTTGTAACTTTTGATGTATGTGAATCATGAGCAGGACCCCCTCCCCCCCTTATACTCTCCTTACTCTTAAGCAGCACTTACCTCATTTGAAATTACTAGATTAATGAACACATGTTTGATAAAACATTTATCTAAACCAAACTAGTTTGAAATTTGTAAAGCAACTCGCAACATCACTAGAGTTTGATCCATATTTTGACTAATACAACAACCCACTCATGCCTTCATTCACCACTGACCAATAAAAATTTGAAACGTATACACACAAATCGTATAGTATTACAGCGGACTTACTTATGTTTCAACTGAAACTTCACGTTCTTGTAGGCAAAAGCCACTAGCCACGTACTGGCGAGAGTCATAACGACGAACATGATGCCAGATGAATAAGGATCCATTTGGTGAATCCTCCAAAACAACCCTAACATAAGATTAAAATCACTTTAAAAATACATTTTCGTATTAAGAGACATTCCGATTCAAACAAAGAGCGCATGCGATAATATTTAAGAGCGAAGTACATGTTGAATTGGTAGGGCTTACAGAGAGGAATGGCTGAGACGAAGAATGCATTGGCATAGAATAATGCTGAAGATTTAGTTGAAACGGTTCTGCTGAAATTTTGCAGCAAAATTTCGTCTTCTTTTGTGAGTTTCTTGCCGCCCGCCATGTTGAATGAGTTGGCACGGAAAAGGAAAGTGGTTGGGGAAGACTGAGCACTAAGTAGTGAAGTACTTGTTTTTAGTCTCCCTCTGATATTTCAAAACGCCTGGTGGTAATCTGTAGCTCTCTCTCGATCGATTCGCGCCGTTTTGGCAAAACAGTACGTAAGCTCGAACTATTTCATTGCAACTATGTCCGCTCAGAAAGAAGCCTGGCAAACAGAACGACCGACTATTAGATCAAGAAGCAAATTTATGTTTAACAACGAGCTCCTCAGCGATGTTAGTTTCGTCGTTCCGGTGCAACTCGATGAAATTAGCAGCAAGAAATGCTGGAAGGCTATTTCAGCACACAAGTTCGTCCTCGCGATAAGCAGCCCTGTGTTTTTTGCCATGTTCTATGGTGACCTTGCCGAGAAGTCAGATTCTATCAGGCTTCCTGATTGTGAGTACGAGAGTCTGTTAGAACTGTTTCGCTTTGTGTATTGCGATGAAGCGAGGCTTACTCCTGACAACGTCATGCAAGTGCTGTATTTGGCTAAGAAGTACATCTTGCCCTCACTTGTTGAGAGATGCACTGAATATCTGCTCGAAGTCCTGAATGTTTCTAATGTATTTTGCGTCTTGTCTCACGCCCTAAATTACGGAGAGAAAAAGCTTGTGAGTCACTGCTGGAAAGTTATCGACAAGGAGGCTGAAGAAGCCGTGAAAACAGAAGGATTTGAAACGATAGATAGATCCCTGTTGGAAGACCTTGTCAAGAGAGATTCTCTAAACATCAAAGAGGTAGACTTATTCAGAGCAGTCGATACTTGGGCAGTAGAAGAATGTAAACGTCTTGATATGGCAGCCAATGGTGCATCCAAAAGGTTGGTTCTCGGGGACAAGGTTGTGAACGCAATACGTTTTCCAGTCATGAAACGGAATGAATTCAGTAATTCTGTTCTTGATTGCAACATATTAACTTCACATGAGGCCATCATCATGGAGGATTACTTCAACACCCCAATTTTTAGCCCATCAAACTATTTCTCAAAAGCTCCAAGAACTGGCCTACGCCAGAGATGTTGTCGATTTAAATCTGTTGTTCTTGAAACTGGGTTAATGTACGGTTCTTACCACAGTGACTATCTTAATTTTTCAGTAAACAGGGACATTGTCTTGTATGGAATTTGTTTGTTTGGAAGTGAAAATCGCAAATACCAGGCTACAGTAACAGTTAGAAAAGCATCTAATGGTTTGTTTAAGGCCACTAAGATAGGAAAATATTCTTCTATACCCATGGAATTAGAGGAAGAAGAAGGTAGTTTTTATGCCTTTGATGTTCTGTTTGATAAGCCAGTGTCTCTGAAAAAGAACACTTGGTATTATGTGAAAGCTGCTATGTCTGGTCCCATTATTTGGCATGGAAAGGGAGGAGTGAAGTCCATCCATTGTCCTGGGGTACAATTCAGCTTTAAGGACCATCCAAAAAATAATAAAAGAACCAACATTGCAGATGGACAGTTTCCTCAGTTCCTCTTTAGTTTGGAGTAAGTTCCATCCTCAACTTTGAAAATTATCTTTAAGTTTGTGTGGTTTAGCTCAACAATATACAAATGTGCAACCCCAAATGTGCAAGAGTTGGATTTGTGTAAATGAAGCTATACCTCACAGTTAGGTTTTTGGTCAACCTTTGGGATCTTAATCCTGAAATGAGTGGTATTTTCAACAACAAAAACTTTTATTCATACTGTACAATTACAAATTATTATAGACTTAGTGTTTTAGATTTCAAAATATTTTTAACAACGATCGTTAACTTGAGGAGACATAAAGAGAGTCGCCAGTCCTTTCAAAAACCATTTAAAAAAATGTCTGCATCTTATTATAATGACCCCTATTCTGTTATCTGAGCATCATATAGTTATACATTTTTGTGAGGAAACCTTTGTTCTAGGTTAGCACAAAGAAAAATACTTGACATGGTAATATTATCAAATCAAGTCAAATCAAATATTAATTAATATAAAATTCCAGAGACTGATAAGACTGGAAATAATGATGGAATGTTTTTGTTTTTCAAAGGAATAGCTAATTAGGTGTCAGAAAACTAAATGGCAGACAGTAGGTGAAGCCTGCACCCTTGTCAAGTAGCCCTGTCAGCTGTAATTCATTCCAGTTTCTGCAGCATTAATCAACTAGTATTACTACCCCCTCTGGGTGGCTGCTATCCACCACAAAGTTCCCCAGCATTTGATCAGGCTTCTCAGACAATTTGACAGTTGCCTTTTATGCTCCCAGTTGGGGAGAGGCAGTGTGACAATAAAGTGTCTTGCCATGTCTGCACTCAGACCTCTGGAGCTAGAGTCCAGCACTTTAACTGTTGACACTTGGTGTCTCTACCAAATGGCAGACAGTAACAATATTATTTTTTAAATAGAATAAGAGAGATGGTAAGCTTGGTAAAGAAATAGAGAAAGATGTTTTTTTGTCTTGTCACAAGCGTGAGACACAGAACAAATTCTGAGTCCCCATGAGGAATTTAACCTCAGACCTTCAGATTGTGGTTATTATTTTGTGGTTTTGAGGTTTGCTTACAAGTGTTGAGCTTAATTTTGGTCAGCACACAGAATCAAATCAAAATATTTATGGTTTTCTGAATTTTACAATAATTACATCATTGTCATGCTGTTATGTTGTACATAATAATTTCTGAGAAACTGTAAGTAAATGAATGATATTATTGATGTCATCAGCAAATGATGGGTTAAGTTAAGTCTTTCTCACAGAAATGATATGAAAGATATTGTTCTAATTATTACTGATAAAGTATACCTGACAGATTATTGAAAAAACAAAAGGTATGTTTGTTGACTTATTGGTTGAGTAAAGTTTGTAATGTGACACGTTTTCACCAGTTTTCATACTGTTTCAAACTGAGTCGTTACATATCGTTTTCCTCATTAAACAAAAAATATGAAAGCTATTTTAGAACATGAAAAATAAAAAACTTTTGAAATTGAAGTAAAAACGAGATCATATTTTTTTTCGGTTATTTGTTGTTGTTTTTTTTTTAATCTTTTTTCTAGGGTAATTCCAAAGTTAAAAAAAATGTTTAAGTCAGTCACTTAACTCAAAGCATCACTGACGTGATATGTTCCACCTGAGCATTTGAGAAAATAAGTTATTGCCATTTTCACCATACTAAGAGAAAAGTTCTCTTGTAGTTGCTGTCACACAAAGTGAAATACCATACGAATAACAACTGTATCTCCAAGCGGAACATCAAAGCCGTCATATCTTGTAGCGATTTGTTCTTGATTGTGATGGAGGAAAATTTCCTTTCCTATGTGCAGGATTGGAGACAGTACAGGTTGGAACAGCTCAACCATGAGAAAGTAGATACCTGAAAACTTTCAAAGTGACTCTATGCACTTGCCAAAGGGGGCAAGTGTTTGATTGGAATCTGAATCATAAAGCCAATCAAACACTTGCCAAAGAGGGCAAGTGTTTGATTGGCAAAGGTTACTTGCGTAACGATAATAAAAGAAATAAACCAAAAAAGAAAAAAACGACAAAGACAGTGCGAATCACTGATGTGGCAGACAAAAACGAGGGAAGGCAGCAATAATGCAACAAGAAAGAGCGCGCGCATCACTAACGTAACAGTCAACAAGAGCAAAGGGAGCGCGTATCACTGACGTAGCGGTTTAACAAGCAAACGAAGAGAGCGCGCATTATTGACGCAACAGTAAAAAACACAGATCGCGCACAACACTGACGTAACAATCAGAAACGAACTAATTCAGTGCGCGTAACTGACGTAACATTCAATTTTAAAACTTAGAGGAATGCTCACCACAAACCCAAGAATAAAACGAGCAAAGCGCACATCACTACTAACCTACAATCAGACACAAACAAAAGAAGCGCACATTACAAAGCGCGCATCCCTAACATAACAGGAGACGTTTTAGATACGTGGACGGCAATCGGAAGAGGAACTGAACTTATTCTAGAGCGCTCTGACGCGGGTGGATCAACTAGAAAGTCATCGTTTCGTTATTTGAAGTACAGCGGAACTGACCAAAAGACGTATGTGAAAACCCGGAATGACAACTTCAAATTCCGGCTGTTAGCTGCTTGTCAAAAACGTTTGTGCCCCCTCTACAGTCGAATAAAAAACAACGAGGACGCGCCTCTGGAAAGTAACAATCAAACAAAAATCAAAGAGAGTGCGTCCATTAGCTAAATAAAGAAGAAAGAGAACGCGCATCATTAACGTGAAAGCCAAACATGAACAGAGAATGACGCAACCATCCAACACATACCAAAGACTGCACATTACTAACGCGATAATCAGAACGAATAGAGCGTCACTGACGTCACAAAGTGTGTATACATCATTAGACTGAAGTGAGTGCGCAGTAAGTGATGACGCCTGGAACATCTGTGACTAATCAACCAAGCACGAAACGGTAGTGAAGAATGCTAAATGAAAAAATGAAGAATTAACCTCAAAACTGATTAAATGAGGCGGATATCGTAGAAAATATTCCTCAAATGGAGCTATTTTCTTTTCTTTTCATGGTGTCTGAGTGAAACACGTCATGATCAAACTGAACAAAATTGCAATCAAAAATTATTTTCTTTTTTTTTTTTATTTCAGTGATAATTAGCTGATGAAAGTACAAGCTGTACGACAAGAAAATAATTTAACTATATCTTTGAAGTCCACTCCTTGTTTAAGGTCAATATAAATAAATCCATCATTGACTTAACTATCGTGCGAGGTTACAGACAGTTCTAGCGGTGTACAGTAAAAAAAAAAAAAATACTCAGAGTGGTAAAACAATTGCACAAAATTGTGCCGATGAAATACACTTGAGACAGTTTTAGGAAATAAACGATAAATTTTCTCCATTCAATCCCCGTGTAATAACGCAATCAAGTCGTACACCCATATTTTTAGCACAATTTTCACATATATGTCGCAAAGTAAAGCAAAGCTCTTCACTCCCAAAGGAGGAAAACAAAAACAAATACTGA